TTTGTTATTAGAATTACTGATTCCTGTTGTTTTCTCTCTGTGTCGGGTCTCAAGCTGACCAGGTGCATTACAGTCATTATTGTACACGTTATGGCCAGTCCCATCTTCATGCCATGTTAACCAATCCGACTCTTGACTTGGAGGACAAGGAGTGACTGAGTGACTGAATTATGCGCAATTGATCACACGATTTCTAAAGGAGCATGCGCAGAAATCCCCATAGACCAGAACACGCAGGGAGATCGGGCGATTAGCCACTCCTAATTTTTTAATGTTGGGGCTGTGAACCACCAAAAGCACCAGAATGATATTTTTAATATCATGACCAACTTTTAAGACTGCTTTGTATTACTCATGTGAAAGGAAAAGTACAATACGGCCACCTGTACAAACAGCTACTTTCCATTTCCCCCCTTGCATTTTTTCTATAAAATTTAACAATGTAACACGGTCACCTGTCCAACACGACTGCGACCACCTTAATTTATCTGCCCACGACCAAATTTACATGCCTGAGATGACTAGTTATTTTTTCGCATGGCCCATTGCTTTGTCATAAATTTTGTCTCGGTCTCTGACACTGTAGACGGGCCGTCTTAATCCTTTCATTTGTCGTTATTGTTAGTCCATCTGACTGAGCACAACTGGACCCCAAACGATCCACTGAACTTTCAATATTAAATTTGATGTGTTTGAAGGACAAGGTGTTTTGGGAAACCTTCAAAAGTATCCAAGACTTGAGAGAAACCGTCACGGAGGGCTCGAAAGAGATTTCCCCCGAGCAGTGTCAGCGCCTGATTGTCAATTTCACTCCGCATGTCAGAATGTGCTTGACTTGAAATAGGGAGTATCTGGAAGATACCTTGTAACTTTGTAGCTGTCATATTATTTTATTGCTATCAATACAGAATAAATCTGGATGGATGTCCCATGTTTCTGCTAACTTTGGTGTTTCGTCTTTATTCTTAACGGTTTTATCAGCTTTTTTTGGACGAGCTTATCTTCTGGTCACCTGGTATATATGTGAGGCAGCGTGGTGAAATGAGGCGCTAGTCAAAATAATGAAAGTGAAGAAGACACTGACATTTTTCCGCAGGTTTTGGTATTTTTATCGAATTTGTGTTTTTTGGCTCAACACTTTTCATGCCCATTAAAGAACACATTTCTGTGTGGATTTTACTGGAAAAACGTTGATTAAAGGCTCAAAAAGGGTAAATTTCCAGTTTCCAAGAACTCTAAAGCACTGGAAAGTACCAAGCTTTGGCGGCCATTTTACCTCTGAAATCAGGTGACCCCACTTCCTTCAATTGCTAATATCTTGATTTTTATCACAGACAGATGAGTATTTTTTTCATCAAGAGATAGATGAATGAACAAACTTTAAGATGACACCGATAACTCTACATGCCCAAAAATTGACGAGCGCCCGATTCCACCATGTCGTGACACATATAAATATATATATTATTGTCGCTTTTAAGCTCAAGGGGGCTATCCCGAAAAATGCTGTTTTGAGTAAATCGAAGGTACAGTTTTTGGACCATTGTTCAGTTTCTTTAAAAGACAAAGAGAGTTTTCTCTACAACCGAACAATTATACACACCAATGAAACCAAACTTCTCCTATAGGTAGGGCAATGCCCACTTTTAGTGTAGGTTAAGATTTCTGGAAGTCCCCAGAAAAAAAAAAATCATGTACATGTATCTTTAAGAAGCCCTCTTTTCTTTCATCAGACCAAAACATTTGCCGGACTCTTTGCAAAGGAATGGATTTTCCTCTTTGTGTCCTCTGTTAACATCCTGTCAGCAATTGGGCTGACACTGTATCGGATGATCACAGTTCTCCGTGAGGACCCAGAGTCAGCTGACTTCACCTTCACCCTACTTCTCTTGATCAATGCAGGTGATGTGGTGGGTGGGCCCCCTTGGTGGGTGGGCCCCTGTGGTGCTCCTGTAAGGACACTCCAGTTTGATGAATTCTTCAGAAAATGGCTTACGACGCATTTAGTTGGACAAGGTTATCAAATATAAAAAATAATTTTGTTTAAATGAATTAAGAGATGAACATTTTTTTTCTGGCTTTATGACTAACAAATCAGTGACCTGGATGTAGTAGGGCAGCTTCAGTCATCAGAAATGAATATATAGCAAAATGACGTGGTATCGTAATCTGGTTACAGGTTTTTGCATCTACTACGTGGTCCATGGAGTGCTGAGGGAGCGGGTGTACGAGCTGTACGCCCTGATGGCAGCTATATTGGTGGTGGTCATGTACTGCATACTGGAGTACTTCGTCATCAATCCGGACGGCCACACTACAGTGAAGCTGGTGCGTTGGTTTTACAGGCAGGCTGCTGTTCTTTTAGAGGCAACTGCGTGCCGCAACATTGCCTACTTACAGAAGTTTGGGATTCAGATTTTAGTGGGTACCAGTTACCTTCCAAGAATTTTTGTTTCCCTTTCAGTCCTAAGAAGAAACCTAGTGCTCAGCCCTGGAAGTGACGTTTTTTTGGGGGGGAGGTTTTGTTTTTAAATCTCTGAGCATCTTACAATGATACCACTGGTTTTGATTCTACTGACAAGGATCTTTGACTTTCCTATTTTTATATCTCTGTTTCTTTGACTTCTTACTTTTCACTATCATTCTCTTACCTTTAGCTTTAGAGAATCAGTCCAAAGGGGTCGTGGGCCAACTTTGCAGTGTCCCAAATGAGACGAGGTGTGGGAAGGGGTCAACGGTGGAGAGAAGAAAAATGACTGCAAGCAAATGAAATTTTGTTTTTATTCCAACTCATTTCTGTTTTCTTTTCTCTTAGTGCTTGGCTGCAGTTTTCACAAAGCTTAATTTTTTATTTTTTTAAATTCAAGTGATTTTTTTTCTTAGAGCTATTTAGAAGCATGATTTTTTCTTTTGGTTCCATAATGAGATGGTAGGGGATTTAAATAAGTTTTTATACGTGTGTTTGCTCCAACAGGTCAGAGTGGTCATGGTGTGTGCGATGGCTCCTCCCAACATTATCCTGGCTTTTATAGTTTCCAGAAACTTTGGCTTCCTAGAGTTTCGCATTGTTGGAGCTTCAGAATACTTACAAAGTGAGTCACAGACTACAGCTCAAGACAACATCGCTTGAACTTTTGCACTGTACTTCTGTCTTTCGTAAATCCATTGTTGGTTTCAGAATGCCTCTGGTAGGTTCTGTTTCTTTACTTTTTTTTCTTTCTTCTGTAAACCCCCCCCCCCCCCCCCCCCCCCCCCAAATCCCCATCTCTCCACCTCCACCTCTATCTCACGAACAAACGCATACAAAAACACACACTCATGAGCAGTCTTTTAAATGATAGAATGACACTGAGACTGGGACACTGGTGAATATATTCACTCTGATACACCTACCTGATACATACTTGATGTATTTTCCTTGCCTTCTCTCCTTGCTTTTTCCTTTCTCTCTTCATTTGCCCAAGTGTGCTTCACATTTAAGATTCCCAACTTGTCATTTGAAGGGCCTTAAACACACAAAAGTAAACACGCCTCGTTTTTGGGGGGTGTCATATGTTGGGCACTGCCGCCATAAAACTACCTACTGTTGTCTCACATTTTCCCAGCACTGATATGTTGATTTGTGTCTATGCTCTTTTCTCTAACTACTCTTTACATCAGAATTAACACGTTTTATCTGCACAAACCTAATTTTGAGAAATTTGACGGCAAAATTTTTGTTTTCACGATATGTCAAAATTTTTCAAATGCAAATCTTTGAACGTCATGAAAATGACTCTGAATATTCTAACGATTTTGATAGAGCAGATTGAACATTTGGTTTCTGACCTCATGGTTTTAGAAACTCAAAATGGCCAAAAATGTCTGATAGAACTTTGTAATTCTGAGGTAGCGAACCATTGGTAGTAGAAAAAAAGATAAAATGTCGCTGTTGCTGAGGTAACCAGCAGTAAAATGAATCTTTTAAAAAAAGCATTCTGCTCTGCAATGAATAGCCTTTTGTTTACATGCCATTAAATGTTTTCAGTAAATTGCGACCACTAAAGATCAGGGGATTACAGTGTCCCAAATTTTATTTGGGGGTCAAATTCAAAGTAAATACGAGGGACATCCAGAAAGTAAGTACTGTTTTCACATCTCTCTGAACTGGGTGAGGATATTCCAGATTTTGCACCATGGTGAACTGATGTGTTCTGTACTGAACCGGAATGAGCCTTTAGTTTCCATCTTGCCATTGTAAACAACAATCTACAACGCTTGTAAAACATCTCACCCAGTTTTTTCCCCGCCAGTTTACACAGCCACATTTTGTGTCAAACATCGTGCCCCCTTTTGAAGCTTCAACATGTCTTCCAAGATTGAAAATTATGCTGCTGACAGTGAAATCCGGTCGGTTATTCGTTTTCTGACTGGAAAGAACACGAAGCTTAGTGACATTCATTTGCAGATTTCTGAAGTGTATGGTGAAAATGCAATGGGCGAAAGCATGGTGCGGAAATGGGTTTGCATGTTCAAAGAGGGACGAGAAAATGTGCATGATGAACCCAGGAGTGGGCGTCCATCTTTGGTCAGTAATGATTTGATAAACAAAGTTGACATTAAGGTAAAGGAAGACAGGCATTTTACCCTTTCCTCACTCTCTTCAAACTTTCCTGAGATTTCAAGGTCGCTTCTGCGTGAAATTGTCACTGATCATTTGGTTATCGAAAGGTGTGCTCACACTGGATACCCAAACAGCTGACACAAGTGCATAAGGATCAACAGGCTGCCAGCACATTGACATTCCTGACACGTTACAGTGATGAAGGAGATGACTTTCTTTCTCATATTGTGACAGGGGATGAGACCTGGTTGCCCCACTCCGAGCCCGAGTCAAAACAGCTGTCGATGCAGTGGAAGCATACGGATTCGCCCCTGCCCAAAAAGTTCAAGGAGGCCGTGTCAGGAAAAAAAGTCATGTGTACAGTGTTTTGGGACAGGCAAGGAGTTCCTTTAGTAGAATTTTGGGAAAATGGGAAGGCAATTAACCTCTGATGTGTACTGCAACACACTCAAAAAACTGCGTAGAGCGATTCAAAACAATAGACGTGGAATGCTTAGCGATGGCATTGTTCTGCTTCACAACAATGCAAATCCTCTCAAGTCTGCACAGACCCAAAACCTGATTGCCTCCTTCGGATGGGAACAGTTGAAGCACCCATCGTACAGCCCAGACCTGGCTCCGAGTGACTTTTATCTGTTTCTACATTTGAAAAAGTTTTTGGCCAGGCAGGACTTCGACTCAGACGCTGATCTCACAGGAGAGACTCGACATTGGCTGACATCACAGGCAGTAGCTTTCTACGATGCGGGCATTCAGAAGCTCATCCCACGCTGTCTCAGCACTTAAAATCAGGATTTTTACGTATCAGTGACTGCTAGTTTTAATGGTCTGACCAGACAGTGGCTCAGATTACTTGTTTTAATTTTTACCGCACTTATTGTTAACTTCAAAATTTAGCTTGCCTTTCTGGTCACGAAATTGGACTCTTATTTGATCCCTGTAATGATAAAAAATGTATGGTCAAAAGATACGTTGAGACTACATGTTGTACTCAGATGACGCTTGACCCAATCTGGCAGTCTTGAGAGTTTTACCTTTTAATATAGGTGCTAACAATGTGACAAAATGCTTGTTATTTGGGTTGGTTTTTTTAAGAATGCTATTTTATTTTTAGAGATCTCAGAATATATTCTCAGCAGAAGATTACAGTTTGTATTTCATATTTTGTTGCTCTTCTGCCATAATTAGATTTTATTCTTTTCTCCTTCTATAGACATGCATGCCATCAGGAATTGTAATATTGTTTCATTTTATTATTTTATTTATTTCTGTTTTTCCATACTTTCTCGAAAGAAAAGTTTACTTTAAAGTGGATTAAAGGTTTTAAAAGAGCATGCTATGAACTACGAACGGTTCCAATATTGGAAGATAATACAAATGAAAGGTCAGGTTGCTGAACACTTTTGGTCCTACTCTGTGAAATATTTTTAACCTATGCTCTTAAATTTATATGTGTCAGGACGTGGTGGAATCAGGTACTCATCAAAATAATGAAATCAAAGAAACTGGCAAATTTCCGCCGTTTTGTCAATTTTTATCAAATTTTTGTTTGTTGGCTCAACGCCTTTTATGTCCATTTAAAAACACATTTCTGAGAAAACGTTGATTAGAGGCACAATAAATGTACAATTTCAGTTTCCAACCACTCTAAAGCTTTGGAAGTCACCAAATCTTGGCAGCCATTTTCTGGCTAATTTTACCTATGAGACCAGGGGACCCCACCTCCTTTAATCGCATATATGTCTCAACTTCTATTCAAGATAGATTGGTATTTTATTCATCGAAAGCGAGTCAAACGATACCAATAACTCCACGTGCCCGAAAATTGATGAACATCTGGTTCCACTGCATCACGACACATATGGGGACATGATAACTGGGAGGAGAACAAAAGGGGTCATGCAGATAGGCCTATAGTTGAAGTTGTCTTTTATGTTTCATTTGGAAATAAGTTTGAGGTGATATTTAGTCTGCAGACGTACAAGTTTGATTTTCGTGGAGTTGGAATACATTTTTAAAAAGCTATTTGTAGAGAAAGAAATTCATAGGATTTAAAAACATCTCTCCTTCATTTTTTTAAACTGCAAATATCACAGGTTCTTTTACTAATTTACCGGAACAAAGCTTAAAAAATTTGCTATGAAATGTTGAACATCTTTGATAAAATCAAGAAAGTCTTAAAAAACATGAAGGATTTTTCATACTGCCGTGTCTATATGATATATGTCATGGAAATCTGCTTTCATTCCTTCTATATTTTGTGGCTATGTTCACTATATTTGACCCCCTGATGATGTCTAGAAGTAACTGTCCGTCTGTCTGTTTTAATTTTTTCCCTAGAAGTAAATTACCATTATTGTGTCGTTGTTCTTCTCAACTCAAACAAACAATTAAACATGCATTGCATCATTTTCTTTTCAGAGCTGTACAGACAAGCTGCAATTTTTTCTTGTCTTCTCAAATTTGATCTACAAGCTTCTGTAAGTTTTTTGTTTCCTCTTTTACTGTTGATTTGACTTTTCTCTGTGTTTTTATTCCTGTATATTAAATTCCTGTATGTAAAAATATTTGGTCTTCTACAGATTACTTCATTATACTGCTTTGTCACAACACTGTCTTATAATACACTCTTTCCTTTTGTGAAAGAATGTAGTCTGTTGTAGAATTTTGTTCAAGATGTTAATGTTTGCTTTCTAGAGTGTTTATGAGTTGGTCTTGCAGCCTTTTAAGACATTGTTTTTGAACAATGTAAAAACTGACTTCAGTGCTATGATTATTCCATGTTCTGGTAAAAATTGTGATTTCAAAACAATTTTCGTCCGTCATCCCTTTTTTTCATCCCTCCCTCCGAAAATGTGTTCTGCAGTATTCAAAGTAACTGTAGAAATACGTGGCTGGCTACGTATTTTTTAAAGGCAGTTTGTTTTTTAGCCTCATTTGGACACTTTGCATCTTCTGTCTCTGTGCTCTGGTCTGGTTTGCTCTTTCTTTCCTATCAAATATCTATTGTCCGTATCTTCCCTCCTTCTTTTCTATGTTTGTTAGACTCTTGTAGTACCTAGTCTTATATGTCCTTATCGTGTTGCAAGTGCTGTAAAACAAAAAAATATGTCTCAGGAAGTGCTCTATCAGTCTGAAACACAGTTTTAATGTGAGAAGAGGCAGGAAAGCAGCGACATTAATGTAATAATACACACAGGAAGGGGAAAAGGCAAAAATGTTTGGGTTTTTTAAAAATTGAAAATATACCTGAGAAGGTGAAAGATTATTATATGTATTAAAAAAGGAGCCTCTGCAAAAGACTTGTTTACGGAATTAATAGAACCGTGTAAATTTGAGGTTCCAGACGAGGTAAGTACAGGTCTGAAGTGTTCAGTTCTTCTGGGGATATTTTATATTAAGTTAAGACAAGATAAGATGAGATAAGATAGAAAAGGTACATCTTATTGTCCAGATCCTGGCACTTTAGTGTGGTGTTTACACCACACACGCACATTCATGCACACAGGCACGCACGCACGCCCACACACACACACACACACTCACACATACACACACACACCCACACACACACACACACACACACACACACACACACACACACACACACACACACACCTACACCCGTACGCACTCTCTCACACATCCTCTCCTTAAGACACACTGTGCACATAAACATAATACAATAGGATGTTTGCACTAACATTAAACAAACAGACTCCCAGTCATATGCATAACAATAATTGTGAACATTTATATTGTTAACTCTTTATCTCCGGCAAGCTGCTCCCAACGGCTCGCAGTCGGAACCCCTGTGCCAGTGAGCCACTGACAGCGGCTCGGGCACATTCCTTTACGGCGACTTCGACGTCAAATTACTTTTCGACATAAACAGGCCTCTTTTACTGGGAGTTCATTCATTAGATGAAGAACTATCAAAATAGGTTCACTTGTTTTGATTTAATGACCTGTTTAGTGACGTTTTTGTCATTTTTAGATTTAGTACCAAAAAGGGTCCTGGCATAGTGGGTCTCCCCCCCCCACCCCACCCCCCCACCCCCTCTTCTTTTGTCCCCCGGGGGTGTCATGTTTTCTTCAATAGAAATAAAGAGGGGCAAAATGTTTCGAAATGTAGCAGTTTGTTTGTCCTGCGCTAGGATCATCATTTTTGTCCTTTTTCTGTATGCTTTGCCTTGTTTTCCTTCTCAGTGTAGCATCGTCATCTTGGCTTTGAAAGATGGAACAAACGTTTCTCTTGTGGAAACAATATCTCTGGCTATAGGGCTGCCATACTCACTCTTCTGGTGTTTTCTGGGTTGGATTTCTGTGAGTACCAACACAGCTTTTACTTACATAATGGCTTCAGGGAATAGTGTATTTGGGATTACTTCACCTCTTTTGGTCCTAATCATGGCTTCATGCTATGTGTATAATATGGGGATTGGGGATGGGGGTATTTTTTTTCACAGATCTCTTATATTATTATTATAGGCAAATTTATATGGTATATTATATTATTCAAAATATATTATTTTACAAACAATGTACACATATATTTTTCTAGGTTGAAAGTTTTCAGACTGATGCTTCCAATGTTGATGACGATTTGACATAGACTTTTTCTGTTTGACCTTATAAGGGACTTGTCTAAAGACACTGGTCTTGTTGAAATAAAACCATGTTGTAAAAATATTAGTGCAAGAGTAAAATTGACATCTTACTATTTCTTCTAATGTATAATTTTCAGAAATTTTGCTGTGATTAAAGCCACATCAACATTTGCACTTGGGTATTATGCTACACAGAGTTATTTGATTTTAATTTAAAATAGATTTTTTAAAAAGAAAATCTTCTCTTTGCATTTCAGATTTTCAAGGCAAATTATGTTGGGACATTTCTGCTTCATTCAAGCTTAGATAACCAATTTTTCTTCCAAGTTTGGCTGACCTGGGGTTTTTTTCACTTCTGTTTCAGCTTCGACAGGAACTGAAAAAAGGGGCTATAGTTTTCGCTGTCCTTGGGTTAATCAAGCCTATGTATTATCTGTATAAGATTATCAATGTAAGTACAATAACACAGCTTTCATTGGAGGAATATTTTTTTTCTTTGATACCCGAATATTGTGACAGTAGAATAGCACAGAAGGATTTCTCCAGTATCATTCCTTATACCGTCAGGCTTCTTCATAGAACATTTTTTAATACATGTTTCCCTACACTTATCCTTTAAACCCTTATTCCCTTTGATGTGCTATAATTTCTTTCGGAAAGACCAATTCTATTTGTAAAATGTGCTCGGTACTCAAGAAAAATAAACAGTACACTGTAGGTAGGTCTTTACTCACCGGAGTTTTCTACTCGACTGGCCGTGTAGGACAGTCGGGTCAGGTGGTGTTTTTCATGTGAGCATTTCGCAAGTCCGTGCGAAGTCATGATCATGTCAGCTGCTGTGTTGTGAGTTAATTGAGTGTTCAGAGAGTCACTACATGGCCCCCCTCCAGCACTGACATGACAGGAGGTTCTAGAACCGGGGGGGGGTGGTCTCACGGTACGTCCTGAACGTGAGACCTTCCAACGTGCTTGCTGTTTATCCTGTAGAGTAATGGGAGCGGATTGTATAGCTTGGCTAGGCTGGGTTGAATTCTTAGTATTTGCGCTTGAATTCACAAGCGATGAAGACGGAGGTCGCCCACGTTTTGGTGCCTGAGCAACACGTACTAGTTTCGACAGATCCACAAAAGCTGGTTTGAGTCGGTCGACAGAGATGTGTTCCGTGTGACCACTTAGATTGACAAGAAAGGTTTTGTCATGCCTTTCTACAACCTTGTACGGACCAGTATACGGGCGCTGTAGGGGTTTTTGGTGAGCGTCGCCGCAGATGAACACGAACTTGGCTGTGTCTAGTGACGAGTGGATGTTTGAGGTAGGTGCACAGTGCAATGATGTCGCCTTGGCTAGTTGTGACTGCATTTGGGATCGCAAGTTGGCGAGGCTGCATGACTGGTCGAATGGTGAAGTGTCACTGGTAAAAATTTCACCAGGTACTCTGAGTGGTACTCCATACACGAGCTCGGCGACAAAAGTTACCAAGTCCTCTTTTGGGACAGTACTCAAACCGAGCAGTACCCATCCCAGTTCATCGAGCCAGTTCGAGCTTTGGAGTCTTGCTTTGAGAGCACTCTTGAGGGACCGGTGGAATCGCTCAATCAGTCCTTTGGATTGAGGGTGATAGGCAGTTGTATGATGAAGATTGGTACCAAGGCGCTCGGCCATCTCTCTCCACGAGGCAGAAGTAAACTGAGGGCCTCTGTTTGATGTGATGTCAATGGGGATGCCAAAACGGGCACTCCAGTGGTTGATTGGCACATGACCACATTCTGTTGTTGAGGTGTCCTAGTCCTTGAGTGGGATAGCCTCTGGCCATCGTGTGGTTCTCTCGATGATTGTGAAGAGGTGAGTGAAGCCCTGCGATGGGGGTAAAGAACCTACAAGATCGACATGAACGTGACTGAACCTCTTTTCAGGCTCTGAAATCTTCTCAATGGGTGCCTTGGTATGCTTTTGCATTTTGGAAGCTTGGCAGTCCGTACATTCCTTTGCCCACTTGCTGACTTCCTCCCTTAGCCCATGCCAAACAAATCTCTGGGATATCAGGCGGACTGTAGTCTTCCTTCCTGTGTGGGAGTGGCTATGAAACAAATCGAAGACCTGTCGACCAAATGCTGGAGGTACAATTGGTCTAGGATGTCTGGTCGAAATGTCACACAGCAGTTCTGGTCCTCCGGATTCGATAGCCATTGAAACTGCACGCATTCCTGGGGAAGAGGCGCTGTCATCTGGAGAAGAGGTGTCAGTGCATTGGGCTTCAGCAATTGTTTTGCAGTCCAGTCCCAATGTGGTCTGGAAAATGGCTCGGGACAAACAGTCTGCAACAACGTTTTCCTTCCTTGAAATGTGCCATATGTCCGTGGTAAATTCTGAGATGAATGTCAGGTGACGTTGCTGGCGAGCTGACCAGGGTGGGGATAACTTGGACGTAGCATCCACCAGAGGTTTATGATCGGTGAATGCTGTGAAGCACCTACCCTCAAGCAAAAATCAGAAGTAACAGACGGCAAGATAGAGTCCTAATAACTCTTGATCATATGTGCTGTACCGTTTTTCTGGCTCTCGAAGTTGTCTGCTGGAAAATGCTAAAGGTTGCCAGGCCTCATCGACATATTGTTCGAAGACAGCGCTGACCGCGTGATCTGACACGTCGATGGTTAAGGCGATGGGAACGTTTGTTCTTGGATGCGAGAGGAGAGTGCAGTCGGCAAGCATGCGTTTGCTGGCCTGGAAGGCTGTAGTCATCTGTTACGTCCAGCAAAATTTTGTTTTCTTCTTTTCTCCCTTCAGAGCTTCGTAGAGATGATGTAGTACTAATGCAGCTTGAGGTAGATTGCGATGGTAGAAGTTTAGCATTCCCAGAAATTCCTGGAGTGCTTTGTAGGTGGTTGGCTGTGGGAATTCTTCTATAGCTTTGACTTTGGAAGGGAGTAGGGAAGATTCGATATCGGTCACTCCAAACACGCATTTTTCTAACCTAACATCTAGGCCCGCTTCTTCGAGTCTTTTGCAAACTTGCCGTATATCTTTACTATGTTGAGCTGCTGATGAGCTGGCAATGAGTATATCATCCAGATAGATGAATGCGCCTGAAATGTCCTGCAAGATGGAGTCCATAAGACGATTGTGTCCTTGGGATAGGCGCTTTACATGAATTTTCCTCACTTTACGTAGGTGTGAATGGTTACCCAGCCATAGACAATGAAAGATCTTCTCAGTATGTTAGTGTTTTAGCACCTATAAAATGGCAACTTGCACTGTATGCTTCCCAGGAAGTTGAGATTGTTTCAGAATGCTATCAGGTCTGCTGGGATAATAGTATAGATTGTGAAGCGCATAGAGCTTGCTGGTCTGTGGGAATTTGCGCTTTACCGGTACAAATGCTATCTATTATCATTTTATCGAGAATGTCCATCTGTCTCCTGGGATGCAAACCAAGCAGGCCCTGACAGTCAGGATCAAGCTGACTGCCTTCTAAACATTCTATATTGTTATTGTGTCTACGTTTGCATGAAACATTTACTATCAATCAGGAACTTGGACGGCAGTTTCCAAAATATGAAAGCATCTCCATTATTGACTTTTGTGCATTTTATTGAAATTTTCCTTCTAAACGTACTTACCTGAGCACTCTCCTCATTCATTCAAAGCTTTGAATTCTCTTTTGATGTAATAATAATAATAATAATAATAATAACATTTTATTGATCGCGAGGGGAAATTTGGGTGGCAATGTCAAGCATACCTATATACAAACATATATAATTATAAATACCTACATAAATATATTCATTCATAAATACTCAATACACCAATACAGAACAATGTCACAAACATGCCATTGCTGGTCGCCACTGTGCAGCACTCTTTTGAGCTAGTGTTGTTGTGCTTTGCTCAAGGACACATCCCAGTGACCACAAAACTAAACCACGTGTCACCAACACTTGCTTGACGTTATTTTTGAGTCTGAACTCACTACTCCCTTAGCCACTGTATGGTTATACATTGTGAATGCATTGCAGTCTTCTGTACCTATTACTTTTCTTGTAAACTTTCTATAGCATTGGAGTTCATTTTTGTTCACTAGTCAGTAGTTGTAGTGACTGAACAGCAATGTCTCCCCCAAAAATTACTGTGTGTAAATCTTGCTAATCCCCAGGAGTATATTAATCTCCGGGACGATTCAGTGCCCACAGAGGACACCATTGTCTACTCTCTTATTGCTGCTGGTATGTATTAGTGGGCGCCGATCGGTTGCGACCTGGTGTGTTTTCTTCGCTCTGTACTTCACTATTAATGTTTATAATTACTTTTCATTTATATCATGCATCTGACTGTGAGCCTGTTCATAAGTGCAAGCATGCTATTGTATTATTATGGTTTTGTGCACCGATGTGTGTGGAAGAAAGGATGTGTGAAAAGTTGGTGTGTATATGGGTGTGCACAAGCATGTGTGTAAGCATGTGCATATGCGTGTGTGTGCGTGGTGAAACAGCAGAGCAGTGTGCCAGGATCTGGACAATAAATATATATATTTATATTTCTTGTTCTTAGGATTTTCTGTATCACATCGCAAAATTATTTTCTAAATGCTAATATATTAGGGGTGAATATAGAAAATCTCATCTCTGCCTATGAACCTAGTCATCAGGAAACCGAATAAAAGTGGAATCTTAGGCAGACCGTGTTTTTAAGTGGATTTCAAGAGGCACAGCTAAGCTACAATTCAAGATACGCTTGATGGCATCTGGTCTATACTAGTATTAGCAGGGGGGGGGGGGTGTTGGGGGAGGGGGGAGAACTGCATGATTATACGAAAATGAGGGGGGCAAGGTAGTGTCGCACTAAGACTCTAATATGTTATCTTTGAAGCAAGATAAATTGAAAATAGCTTTAACTTTAAGCATGCTGTAAATGACAAATGCATAAATAAAGAAGGAAAAATTGAGGTCTTGTAAGATTCTTTGAAATGAGTGCTGAGACAGTGATGAATAATAGACTATCCTGAATGGCACTTGCTATGGTATACAGGATAGGCTCTTCACTGTGCATGTAAAAAGATGTCGGTTCAATTCCTTTGTAGGGAAGTGTAGAGTGCCTTTAATTCAACAGTCTGAGGTATTTTTCACCCGACAACCATTGCTGCCTGACAATTTTGGGGTATATTGAATCATTGACCTCAAAGAGACTGGAAACTATCATAATTTTTTAAAATGCAACATAAAAAGAAAACTGCATCTAATTAGTCCGAATAGTTTTTATTTTATAATTATTTTGAAATGGCTATGTCTGGAGGTTACGCAATTTTTTTTGCACCCAATTTGTAATAAAATCATCTGTCGCAATGCTGGGATGACTGACTTAGTCCGTTACAACTAAAAAAGTATCACAAATAATTTCACCAATTTTTGAACGAAACAAAACAATAGGGTCAGCTGTTGGCTCGCCGCTTCCTACTGCTTGTAACTGAAAAACATTGGAGATATTGTTTGATAAAGCGCATCGCGTAAATTCACTTCATATAATGTGGAGTAACTTTGTTTTTATCCTTGGATGTAGTGTTCCACAGACCTTGAGTTTTTTCAGCTCCTTAATGATCGTAATTGTTGCAATGTGTGTTTGGGCATGAAACATTTTTGAGTTGTGCTGACGAAAAGAGTTAGTTTTCGGAGTGTAGCCCTATGGACACAGATTCGATATGTGAAATTTATAGCTTGGGCTTGAACAATTTATTATATGAAATGATAAAACACATTTTCATGTTTTTGAAAAATGCTGACAGTTTAAAATCTACAAATTTGATGTGTCTATTTTGGGTGGATGTCTGTATTCGTAGATTGCGAGAAGTAACTCACTTGGTCGGTGCACATTTATAACTATAAGTCTCAGATTCTATGTGAGAATTCTGTGTTTTTTACAATCATTAACCCCTGTCATTATATGTCTGATCATGGGCTATATTTACAATGATTAACCACCCCAGACTCAGTCTGGATTTAAAATGTTTACGATCATTTATTCCCTGATTCTATATAAGCATGACATATTTACAATCATTAACCCCCAGAGTCTGTCTGGCGATGAAATATTTACAAATATTAGCCGTAAGTGTCTGTCTGGCTGTGGAATGTTTATAATCCTTCACCCCCAGTTTCTGTTTGGCTGTAAAACATTTCCAATCCTTAACCCCCAGTGACTCTTGGGCTCCTCGTTTGGCTCATGGGCATGGTGGAGCTGGTCTATGTGTACAAAAACTTTGGCAAGGGCTTGAAGGAGAGAGGTAAGCGTGCTTGGTATTCATATGCTATGCTCATACCATATTGTTACCCATGTTTGATACTTCTTTTGGAATCTTTTGTTCCTAGTTTATATGGGTGTATCACGGTTTCTTACCTCTACCCATGGTTTTATCCGTACAAAAAAATTTAGAAGTGTGGTGTATTTTTTCATTGTTTTTATGACTTCTTTTTTGGGGTGATATTTTAATTGTGAGAAAGCAAACTATGTGTTGCTTATCTCATAAATTTGACCGAAGAACTCTTTTATTTTTACAATCCACCAGCTCTTCTTTTAGATAATCTGCAGTAATGTTGTTTTTCACGTTATATTTCCCTTTTTTAAAAAAAGTTTTACCCTGTTGCATGTTCCCTCATTTTTGTCAGTGAAAAAAGCCATTGTGTTTTATCACTTTAGCTTGTGTCTCACACAATGAAGGCATTTTTAACTGGGCATGACCTTACAAATTCCGGGGTTTAGGGACAGTGGAATTTAATGGGTTAAATTCGTGTTGAAATGAAATATGGGACATTGAGTTCAGACGATAGATGTAAGCCTCTTGAAATCTATTAAAGTCAAGATTTTGAAACATACATGCCCCTCAGTATACTCTGAAAAGTATCTATAACCAGTACTTTCAGACACTGGCAAACAACTTTAAACGAATTGTTTAGCATTAATGGCCCTTGCAACGCTGTAAGGTTATTAAAGTCGAGGCTGGACTTCCGAATTTTAATATCCAACTCCAACAGGACTGAGCCAAATGGGAAAATTCATATCAAAGGGTCCTTCCCAAGGACACAATGTCAGATTGGGCTGAAAATGGAGCGAACAATTTTGAGACCCCGCAAAGTTCTCTAGCCCTTTTTTTTTCCTTTGTCACTGTCTGGATCTGTGCCTGTAGAACTCTGGCTGTAATTGTGCTGACTCTCTCTGTAGGCTCCGATTGGACTCAATTGTCTCGTTTTAGTGACATTTTGGACAAAATTTTGATGCCTTTTATTTCGAAAAGTACTGTTGACTTGACATTTCTGCTTTGAAAAGTACAGATATGATTGCCATTTTCATGATCTTTTAAAAAAAAAAAAAAAAGAAATATAGGGATAATGAAGGTCAGTTTTTAGTGAAATCTTAGCATAAAATAATATAAATCCATTACATTAGAAAATTATCTCGTGAATGAGTGTGAAAGCAAGTCTGAGAATATTTCGTCGCAGGTTTGAGATATTAGAACACACACACTCTCACACACATGTGCTCATGCACACACATGCACACACAAACACACACACACACACACACACACACACACACACACACACACACACACACACACACACACACACACACACACTCACACACACACAAACTCACACACACATGTGCATGCACACACGCGCACGCACGCACACACGCACGCAAGCACTCACACAAACATGCGCTCATTTACACACACACACACACACACACACACACTCACACACACACACACACACTCACATAGTCTCAAACACACACACACTCAAACACACACACAAACACACACACAAACACACACACACACTGTCTTTTTTATCTCACACACATGCGTATACATCGTTATGAGTGAGCCATACAAAAATAGATGCATGTTATTTAAGAGAAAAATGTTTTTGTCAGACCCTAAGAAGAATCGCTGGAAATATTTCGTATTTTAATGTGGGTACGTAGGTCTGGATGCCTTTTTTTGTTATAAGTATTCATATGACCTCAGAGCATCCACAGAATACCATAAGTTAAAATCAAAATACTATGTGTCTAGCGTAACATTATTATTGTTCATGTTACTGCTCATTTATATTATGCATGTGACTGTGAGCTTGTTTGTGAGTGCAAGCATATTGCGTGCATGTGCATGTTTGTGTGTGTGAGTGGGTGTGTGAGTGGGTGTGTGCGTGTGTGTTTGTGTGTGTATGTGGTGAATCACCAAACCAATGTTCCAGGATCTGGACGATAAAGATATATCTTATCTTATTTTATATTTTCCGTTACACTGATTAGCATTCTGCCTTCATTTTTAAAAGCCATTTTTAATACCCATTTACAAACATTGAGGGCAAAGACGAGTGTTTGGCTTGGTTTGTTCCCCTCTATGTGAAATGTATCTGTTCATCTTCAGTGGATTTAGCTGTTTATTAACTTATTATTTCCATTCATGTGTCATCTTATTCAGTGAGAGGAAGTAACTTTGAATGTAAGAGCCTTTTCTTTGTCCCCCCCCCTGTCATGGTGCAGGTGTTGATTTCTTTCCAGCCTCTTGATTTGTACCTTTTTAAATTTTTGTATTCCTTTCAATTTTCCAAAAATCCCATATTGATATAAATTTGTTGTGTTAATCAGGTGCTCATCTAAATAATAAAATAGAAGAAACTAGAATTTTTCTGCCAGACAATTTTTATTATTTTTATTTTTGGTTTTTATGCTATTTACGAACACATTTCTGTGTAGATCTTACTGAAAAACGTTCAGCAAAGGCACAAAAAATGTAATTTGAAGTTTCATGGACACCCAAGCCTTAGAAGTCCCGAAGCTTTGGCGGTCATTTTGTCACTAATTTTACCTCTCACCCCCCCCCCCCCCCCCAGTCCCGAAGCTTTGGCGGTCATTTTGTCACTAATTTTACCTCTCACCCACCTCCTTCAATTGCAGATATCTCAACTTCTTTTCGAGATAGACTAGTATTTTTTTCAACAAAGGCAAAACGAATTTACAAGTCATTGACTCCACATGCCCGAATATTGACCAGCGCCTGATTCTACACACACTTACACACACACTTACACACACTCACACTCACACACTTACACACACACACACACACACACACACACACACACACACACACACACTCACACACGCACACACACACACACACACACAAGCACTCTCACACACACACTCAAGCACACTCACTCACATGCAAATGCACATGCACACATGTGTGTGAGGCATTACAGTGAAATTAGGGGCTCGTCAAAATAATGAAATCAAAGAAGCCATCCTGTTTCTGACTTACTAATTTTTAAAAAAATTTTTTTTGGGGGGGGGGGGTCTTTTGGCTCAACACCTTATGTGTCCTTTTATTAAAAACACATTTATGTGTTGATCTTGCTGAGAAAGGTTGATTAAAGGCACAGAAAAAGTGAATTTTAAGATTCCAAGCACTCTTAAGCTATTGAAGTCGCCTAACTTTGATGGCCATTTTTAGTTAATGTCACCTTTGTGACCAGGTGACCCCCACTCCTTCAATCTCAAATACATCGACTTCTTTTCAAGATAGACGGGTACTTCTTTTATTGATTGAAAGCAAGCTTTAAGGTGATACCAATAACCCAACAATCCCCAAAGATAGACTAGTGCCTGATTCCACCGCTCGGGACACACATACACACACGTATATATTATTTATATATATATATATATATATATGTGTGTGTGTGTGTCTCAACGCTGTGGAATCATGCGCTCGGCACTTTCTGGACATGTGGAGTTATTAGTATCATTTTATAGCTTATTCATTTGTCTTGCTTTTGGTAAAAAAAAAAGGTATCGTGAATAGACGTCTAGAATTTACGATTGAAGGAGGTGGGGGTCTTCTGGTTTCAAAGGTAAAATTAGGGAGAAAAAGTCTGCAAAAGTTTGGAGACTTCCGAAGCTTGAGAGTCCTTAGAAACTGCAAAATTTACATTTTTGTGCCTTAAATCAACATTTTTCAGTGAGATCCACACACAAATGTGTTATTAAATGGTTCTTAAAGGTGTTGGGTCAAAAAAAAATTTCGATAAAAATTGCCAAACAGACAGAATTTCATTATTTTGATGAGCGCATGATTTCACCATGCTGCCTCGCATAATTATATGTGTGTGTGTGTGTGTCGTGACGTGGTGGAATCAGACGCTGGTAAATTTTTGGACATATGGGGTTATTGGTATCATCTTAAAGCCTGCTCATTTGCCTTCCTTTTAGTGAAAAAAATATCCGTCCATGTTGAATAGAAGTCGAAATATTTGCAATTGAAGGAGGTCAGGGTCGCTTGGTTTCAGAGCTAAAATTAGCGAGAAAATGGCCGCCAAAGTTTGGTAACTTCCATAGCTTGAGAGTCATTGGAAACAGAAAATTTACTTTTTTTTTGTGCCTTTAATGTGTGTTTCTCAGCCCATCCTTAGAAAAAAGTATTTTCAAAGGGACAGAAAAGGTGCTGAGCCGGAAAAAAGAAAATAAGAACAAAATTTCTCATCCTAAAAAAAAATGCAGATTTCTTTGATTTCATTGTTTTGACAAGCGCCTGATTTCACCATGATTCCTGACATATATATATATGTATATGTGTGTGTGAAAATATAATATGTAGAGGGGAAAGAGAACAGTGATCATAGAAAAGGATGTCCACTATTATTTTTTTGCCCGAATCATATAGGCTTCTGTCGTTCTTTCCCTATATTATGCCTGTTTTACATGTCACCAGTTCGTGACTCGGCCCTTCTTGATGCAGATAATTTTGATAGATATAATGGAAGAAGCCCAACAAAAGATCACTGCGTGCAACAACAAAAATGAAACAATGTGACTACTGTTCTTTTTGCCTTGTAGTCTTCCTATTATTATGGCATGTGTGTATGGCTATTTGGAATTCCGTATGATCTGAGAACAAGCGAAATGCTTCAACCATCTTTTGCTCTAAAAAGTTCTCGGGTTACGTCCCTCCCGTAAAGATGCTGGTGTGGTCAGGCTAGCTTAATTGTGTATGCTTGAAGATTAAGTCTATGATTTGCCCTGTATTTTTATTTCAAATAATCTACGTAATCATCAGATTTGTTGCACAGTTTTTTGTGAAAGCAGGTGTTGAAGAGACTTAATGGTAATTTATTATAAATGTGTATTATTTGAGAAAAAAAAGATGTTTCTTTCTTGTAGTGTTATTTGAGAATATGGGGAATTAAGTAAGTACAGTTGAAATTGTCCAAGATGGCCACCCACTGTCAAAGAGAAAAGTGGTCGTCTTAGACAGGTGGATATCTTGGACAAACTGTCATTATAGTAATAAAGAAAAAGCGCAAGGGGGGGGTGGGAGTGGGAAGTGGTCGCTTGTACAGGTTATTGTCTGGAACAGGTGGTCGTTAGAGCAGGTTTGACCGTCTTCCTCTTTTACCCCTTTTGAAAACCTTGATATCCTAAGTTTGTTTATGTATGCAGCTTTGTACACCTTAGAGTTCCTAGAGCTATCAAGGTTGTAATTCCGTATACGTATAACTCTATACTGTGTGCTTTCCTAAGAGGATGGTGGTATATCACTTTAGATGCTTTTTTTGTGCTTCATTTTATTTTCTCGCTTTGTTATTTTTAAGGGTTACTCAGAATGCACTGTTTCAGTGTAATTAATCCTTTGCACCTTTACACATTGTTAAGAATAGTACTCTTTGAGCTTCAGTTGAAGCTGGCTCAGCACCTTCCATGGTTCGCTGTTGGTCACATGTGTAGGTGTATTGATATTCCACAAGGCAAGGAAGCGTTTCTCTAACAAATTTATCTATGTTGGCAAAGGGTTATCCAGAAAACAATCGTTTTAAAAATTGACTTGGAACAAATGTTAATAAAATTAAGTCACTGAGTGCATGAGAAATGATAATAACAATACCGCATTTCTGTGGACACTTTTAAAGTACAAGCTACCCTCTCTTTATGAACACAAACAAATGAGTAGGAAAATTTTAAGGACAAGCAAGATGTAGGTAAGTTCATTGGTCTAATTTGAAGATATCATGCTTGCCACTCATGCCAACATATCTGGCTCTGTGTTTTGTTCAAATAGAATGTTTGATGAATGACTCGATGATTTCTCCTGTGTTTTCCCACCACTAATTCCAAGGTATATTATTCTGAGCACTGTTGTAGTCTCATATAACTGGGAACAGTTTGGAGTTTTTGATCTTTTTTTTTTCTTTTTTTTTTTTTTGTTGTTCAAAATTTAAAATGATTTTTTCACTAGCTGACTAGGTTAAAAAAAAACCTGGTTTGTATAGATGATTAAGAATACTTTTGAAAACAGTGTAAAGAAAGGCAAGGAATGCTACAGTCGCCAGGGGTAGTGGTCCTATTATAGATGTCTGCTAAGCCAGTTTCATCATGGGTTGAAAAAACACAGACAACTGTTCCTTTGAACTAGCAAAGGACAGAAAAAGAATATCCATCCATCCACCCGAGCAAGTAGTTTAGATGTTCAAATTTTGAGATCTTTTTATATTATCGCGGTTGATCAGTCCATGGTATAAGTTGCAAATGCTTCAGATATTTTGTCAAAATTTAAACTCTTAATGCTGAAATAGGCTAGAGAACATAAGTTTAGGGACAAATTTAAGAATAATGTTTTTTTTCTCTCACCTGAAAAAAAATTGCTTTCTGGGCTTTGAACAGTTTGCCAACAATATATGTCCCGGCGCGGAGGAATCAGGCGCTCGTCAATTTGGCATGTGGAGTTATTGGTATCATCTAAGAGCTTATTTAATTGCCTTGCTTTGAATAACAAATACCCATCTATTTGGAATAGAAGTCAAGATATTTGCGATTGAAAGAGGAGAAGTCGCCTGGTTTCAGTAGTGAAATTAGCGAGAAATTGACCGCTACAGTTTCTTACTCCAGTAGCTGAAGAGTCTTGGCAACAGAAAAATGACATATTTTGTGCCTTTAATCGAAGTTTTTCAGTAAAATTCACATGGAAACGTGTCTTAAAATGGACATAAAAGGGGTTGAGCCAAAAAACTAAAATTTGATAAAGATTGCCTGACTGGCAGGAAAAAGCCTGTTTCTCCTATTTGGTTATTTTGATGGGCGCCTGATTTGACCATGATGCCTCATATGTAAGCATTTTCTACTGTAGAAACTTTATTATTCATTTGCTTGTTTTCAACTTTCCTTCTGTCTTGTGCTGCTTTCTATTGTTATTTTTGCTTCCTCTCAAAATACAAATACAATTAACATTGCTATACTGCACAAATGAATTATAGGCATGTATCATGTGTAACTGTATAATTTAATAATAACTGTTTAGTATCTAAGAGAATACGCTCTGAAATTTTAAAGGCTTTTTTGTTCATAGTTAAATAATGATAAATAAGACTCTCTTTCTCAGAAAAGGGGGGAATGCTATTGGAAGACAGTAGTTAGTTTTTTATGAAATTGAAATAATAATTACATTCAGAATCATCTCCCTCAGAAATCATTTCATTTTTTTGAAAAAAGAAAAGTCCTTTTTTTCTAAATGCATTATGATAATTTAAAGTTCCAAGTAATCTTTTGTTCATTTAGTGGGGGCAAAAAAGATATAAAGAAAACTTGTTTTTGCATTTGGTGGGGGGGGGTAGGCTTCCTTACTTGGTAGTTAATCAAGTACCCATTAAACCTTTGAAACGAACACTGCAGCAAAATTTGTCACTCATTTTTGACGACCATCATCACTTAATTTATGCAATCAAGAAGTTGATATTTATGTCTCTTTCTTGTTCTATGTTTTTTCTAGCTCAGCTGATTGCCAATGAAAACACAGGACTCCTGTCAGGCAGCAGATCCAGCTGGAGCCCCAGATAGATGTGGATGCCAACACAGAACCGACTTACAACCCTCATCAGGATATTTTGATTATGTGCAGCTTCTCTGAGACTGCTGCTTTGTTGTTTGTTGTTTGTTGGGGGGTTTTTTGTTAGGAGGGGGCTGAGGATCTTTTTGAACCATTTACAATGATATTTTCAATGTAAATAATTCTCAGAGACTGAAACTGGACTTGTTTGATTGAGTAGACTTTTGTTGGTTTAAATTCGTTTTTAGACTAGAGGATTGGGTCGGGGTAAGTTGCTCTTTTCTAAGTGACTTTTTGTCAGCCATTGTGAGAATTATGCATGATTTGTTATATTTGTTTTTAGAATGTGAAGTATTTGTCATAAACTTAAATTCTTTAATAGAAAACAAGAACAATGTATCTGTGTAATACATAATATTGTATGCCTGGGCCTCAAGAGTTTTGTGCAGAAATCTGAGAAATGTATTGTGAGCCTTGATATGATAGGTAGGTGCTCTGATTGAATGCTGTCATTGTACAAATTTAATATAGAGTTATATCTTGTCGGCGTTGACATTTCTAATTGAGTTTTATTTGATGTACCTCACTGTACGTATCGAGGTGATCATGAATACCTGTAAAAATAGCGTCAGTTGAATAAGGATGGTATTACTCGCTGGAGATGAGATTTACTTATTGTTCATTCTGTGGAAGTTAGTTTTAATACTTTACAAAACATTTACAGCCCATCTTTGAACATTTGCCTTTTAACATCCTATGTATAAGTCTGCGAATTCATAGGGATGAACTACAAATCCTCATTTGACTGTACAAAAAAGTATTAGGTAATAGGAATATGCTGGACAAATTGGAAAGCCTAATATCAAAATTTAAAGGGATAACGGTTAATATCGTGAAAGGAAGTACTTTTCTTATTGGCACTCCTGCAGTCACTGGGTGGTTGGTGGGTGCTCTGGTGTGGTTTGCTTCTTCTTTCCTATCAAACATCTGTCATCTTTATCTCCCCTCCTTCTTTTTTGTGTTTGTTACTCTCTAGTAACACCTCTAATCTTCGGCACTTATATTAAGTTATATGACCTTATTTTGTTGCGAGTGCCGTAAAACACATACTAAAACAAGCAGTCACTGACACATTTCGTATATACCTTTGTATGCTTACTTCTTGATGATTTATGTACTGAATAGTTAACAGAAAATCAACTATCACGGGGTGCTGCTCGTCAGAACCATTTGTAGACTGGCAACATTTGCACAATCATTGACCTCTCCTTTTTTTGCGTCTGAAAATTGTGATGTCATGCCAAAAATCATAAAAATTAATTTTCAACAACTTTTTAATGAACCCTTTAACTCTATTAGGCCTAGATCTATGTCACTGTGGATATAACTCTTTATCGCCAAGGGATGTAAACCCACTATGCCGGGGCACTGTTTTGGTGTGAAAATTAAAAGTAACATACATCACTAAATTGGTCATAAAATCAAAACAAATGAACCTATTTTGATAGTTCTTCATCTAAATGAAGGAATTACCTGTAAAAGATACCTGTTTTGGCAATTGTGAAAAAGTAATTTGACGTCGAAGTTTTCGTAAAGGCACTGTATTTCTGACAGCCAACCACAAAGAACAGCTTGCCCGAGATTAGGGGTTAAAGAAAATTCAACAAAATTTTACAGTTTATTCAAGCTCTTGCAGTTTTTAATTTAATAATAGATCAGACATATTATGTGTGGCATCATGGTGAATTCAGGTGCTCATCAAAATAATGATATTGAAGAAATTGACTATTTTCCAATCGTTTGGTAATTTTTATTCCATTATTTTTCCCAGCACCTTTTATATCCATTTAAAACAAATTTTTGTGTGGAGTTTACTGAAAAGCATTGATCAAAAGCACAATAATGTAAATTTTCAGTTTCCAAGGGCACTACAGCTTTGGAAGTCCACAAACATTGGAGGTCATTTTCTTGCTAGTTTTGCCTCTGACTCCAGCAACCCCCACCTCCTTCAATGACAAATATCTCAACTTCTATTCAAGACAGCCGGGTATTTTTTCATCCGAAGCAACTCAAATGACAAGCGTTAAGATGATACCAGCATGGGTCTCAATAGTCCGCTATTTAGCGGATTTCCGCTACCGCCATTTCCACCACTACACTCCGCTACCGCGACAGCGGGCCAATCAGAAGGAGAGTTGTTGGGAGCAGGGTGACCGCCAGGCCCAGGGAATTTTTAAAAAATGGCCGAGACCCGGAAAAATACATGAAAGATCTCGAATATTTGAAAACGAAATCCAATAACGTCTTTAAGTTCATTTCTGCCGGTCGCGATTGTGATATTAATTCGACTCTGAGAGTACGTTTCACGCGAACTGGCTGTTTTGGCGGCAAGCGGAATTGTGTCACCAAGGCTCGACTGGAAAATCAAGGTTTACTTTCGCTTTCATTACCACCCCCCAAAAAAGGAAAGAAAGTTGTACAAGCGTCTTGTCGGGCTCGCCATCGTGACCGGTCAATGAACCTGCGCGCGTTCTGAGCGCTGCGAAGTACATGACTCAGGAATGGGGGAGATTATTGATTTTTTTAAAAGACGCACTCGCGGATAGGGGGAAGGCTGGACGCAACACCAGAGGACAAAGAAACTGGAACTGGAAGCAAATGTTTGATATTTAGAATTTTGATTACTACTAGATTTCTAGATCTACAGCTCTCTGCAAAGTAAAGTGCGCGTTGGTGCAGGCATTTTGTGAAATCCAGAACCGTCATAACTTATAAGCGTGTTATTGAACTTTGGGGCCTAAGTGTTCGCGTTCATTGGATTGATGACAGTAAATTAGATCTCTATATTTTAGCTACTTTCTGTTCAAGATTCGCAGATTTTCAGTATCACTGCATCTTGTCCTCCCACAGTTCTTACGCCTCTCTCACTGAACAGGTCTACTTGGGCTATTCTACTCTACTTTGAGTTTGAGCATTAATTTTTGTCTTTCATGGTTATTATAAAAGAATCTAGGCCTATATATACATATATATATGGTATGAATCATGACAGTCGATATTCTGGTTCTCTTCCTCCTTTTTTAGAATTCAGAGTTGAAGCCCATATACCAGTAACTTCATGTGCCCAAAAATTGACGAGCGCCTGATTCTATCATGTTGCGACTCAGTAAAGAGCTTTTGCAAGCTCTAATAGTTTTCCGTATTTAGCAATAGACGCCATGTCTGATATACATGTTTAGACTACTCAGTTTCTTAACTTTCACATTCGGAATAAGTGCATTTCATATCTAATGTAATATTGCCCAAAGTATTACGAAACAAAATTGCCTCCATTCAAATACATCTCTTCTTAGCTCAGCTTTCTAAAAAAGTTCCTTGCAAAAGTTATCACACCTATGGCAAAAAAGAAGACAAAAAGAATGTGTGTCCTTTTCTGCCCTAATTTCAAGATTTTGAGGTAATACCAGTATCTTTATGTCACGAGAAAGGAACTTTTTTTGTCTTGATTTGAGTGTTCAGCTTAACATTTTACATAAATATATATATATATATATATATATATATATATATATATGCTAACATTCGATGACTGCTGTTTTGGTTTTACTTTGCTTCTTTGATTAAAGTGCCTTCTGTGGAGATCCCATGACTATACAGCATAATGGTGATATAAATATTATAAACTATTTATAAATGTGTTCTTTTGTATAAAAGTGTTGATTTATATTAAATTTTTGTCCAATATTTTGCTTAAACTTTTTTTCAGTTGAAAAATTTTTTTTTAAACGAAAATAAGGCCTGGAATTTAACATATCACCTAGAGACCCTATGCACCTTGATACTATGAAAGTGTTTTTGCTACGTTGAAAAATAGCTCAAATATAAGTCAATAAAGGTTATACATGGTTTGCAAAAACTAATGTGAAATCAAACTTTTGTGCTATATTTGGCAGTTTTCTATTTTTACCATTTCCTTTTCTAGAATCATAAAATCTACGGCAGAAGTTTCTAACTTTCAAAGCTACAGCAACATGTTTCCCCTATAAGGAAATCAACGATAAAAAACACTTTCATTTTTTGAGAAAGGACATTGATGTAGATCTATGTGTGTGCCAGGAAAAAGGTCCCGTTTGTCGAAATTTTGGATATTGAAATAAGGACATGATGTAGCAAATTCAATGCTGGTAATGCTGATTTTTTAATTTTTCAAATGTTTTGAGCAGATATGCCACATTTTGTAACACAGGGTGTAAAAACAAAGTTTGGGGAAAAACCCAATTTCCAGTACATTTTTAATCTTTGAAGTATACATGTTGCAAAAATAACTTAACTAATAAGAAATATTTAGATTTGAAATATTATATAATCCTTTCAATAATGGTTAAACACGTGTTTTCTGATGGAACTTAAGTTTGACCAGGCACGACTTTTTTGTCCTTTTCACCCCGTTGCTCAAAAATGGCTTAGCCGACAACTGAATTTTTTCTCCAGGCAAAAATGCGTATATATGAATAGTAACAATATGCAAAAGCTAACTGTATGTTTCCTTCGACAGTATGAATAATGGTATGCAGAAAAGCTAATATGTGTTTGTGCCTGGAGAAATTAGATGGGAGAGTATTATTGCACCTGTCCACTGTATCTGAGGAGGGGCCATAGATATGATTACAGCAAGACAGGTAAACTAACAAGCCCTTGGAGATATGATTACAGCAAGACAGGTAAACTAACAAGCCCTTGGAGCTTCTAAGGCAAGGACTTTAACACATACCGCAAACAGTTGATAAGATGCGGTGTGATTACTTCATTGTTCATTCTTATAAAAATCTTGTCAGCTTATAAGATACAAAAGTCACACAAAAGCACATTAATGTAAGACATTTTCATCACAGTTTCCACTGTTTTGCCACAGTAATAGCCAGGTTTTAACTGGCAATAGATTGGGACATTAGCAACACCACGGCTGCCCATCATCATGAATTTCGCGAATCGTTACGATATTTGTTCTATGTTACAAAAATACAATCGTTATACCCTGGATTCCGATTTTGTAAAAATTTCGGCTACCCAACCCATTGCCAACCATCCCAGGTATATAGGGGAAAATTTACTCGACTCGGACAGTCTATGTCACTATGTCAAGTACAGCTGTCTAACTTTAACACCCTCTTTGCACTAAGCCCTTGTAGTTGGGCAGTGCCACTTTACCCTTAGAAAAACCTTAGACTTTAGAAGCACTAAAGCCAGGAGTTGGTAAACATTA